TCTCATTATGTTTCCCAAGCTGGTCTTGAGCTTCTAGCCTTAAGCAATTCTTCCACCTTGGACTCCCAAAGCACTGGGATTACAGGCATGAACCACTGTGCCCAGTCTTAGTACTTAGGTTTTACACATTTAAATATACTTATGTCTCTAACTTGATCTTTCAGCTTTCAAAGATTTTGTTTTTTTATGTATCTTCCTCATGTTGTTCTTTCTCTTTTAAACTCCTTTAATAGTTTATAACATTTGCATTCCATTATGTAACTGTAATTCCCACAGTTGTTTTAAATGTATCCTTAGAGCTTAGCTGGGTATAAAATTATTGGTTTTCATCTTTCATTTTCTAAAGTTTCTGTAGGCATTGCTCCTCTGACTTGTAACGTTGAATGCTGATTTGTGACTGAAGTCAGCAGATTTTTTTTTTTTTTTTTTTTTTAGACAGGGTTTTGCTCTGTTGCCTAGGCTGGAGTGCAGTGGAGCAATCTTGGCTCACTGTAACCTCTGCCTCCCAGGTTCAAGCAGTTCCCCTACTTCAGCCTCCTAAGTAGCTGGGAATCCAGGCGTGTACCACCACCATCTGGCTAATTTTTGTGTTTTCAGTAGAGATGGGGTTTTACCATATTGGCCAGGCTGGTCTTAAATCCTGACCTCAAGTGATCCGCCCGCCTCTGCCTTCCAAAGTGCTGGGTTTACAGGCATGAGCCACCATGCCCAGCCAGATTCTTTTCATCCTTGTAGATGAATTGATCTATTTGATTATATTCCAAAAGGATTTTTTAATCTTCCAAGTTTAACTCTGCTAGAATATATATATATATAAATATATATATAAATGAAATAGAAATCAACAAGAGTTTAGAAGAACTAGAAAAGAATAAATGTATAGGATAAAGGAGAAAATATATGTATATATGTAAGATATATGTATATATATGTAAAAATATATAAATATATAATTATATTTATAATATAATAAATATATATATTATATAATATTTATAATATAATATATAAAAATATATAATGTAAAAATATATATATTATATAAATATATAAAAATATATATATTATATATATATGAGACTGAATTATTACAATTTACAGATTTAAACCCTTTATTTTTGGAAAACTTAATTTCTTTTTTTTTTCAGTTTTTATCCCCAAGTATTCTGTGTCATAGAAACTTTTCTTAAATTACACTCCAATTTTTGGGTTTCTGGATTTCGTTTTTCATTTTTTTGTTCAGTTAAGTAGCAACAATGATCTTTTTTTTTTTTTTTTTTTTTTTTTTTAAATAGATGGAATCTCACTCTGTTGCCAGGCTGGAGTGCAGTGGTGTGATCTGGGATTGCTGCAACCTCTGTCTCCTAGGTTCTAGTGATTCTCCTGCCTCAGCCTCCCAAGTAACTGGGACTACAGGTGCGCGCCACCATGCCCAGCTACTTTTTCTGTTTTTGTTAGAGACGGGGTTTTACCATGTTGGCCAAGAGGGTCTTGATCTCTTGACCTCAGGTGATCTGCCTGCCTCAGCCTCTCAAAGTGCTGGGATTACAGGCGTGAGCCACCGTGCCTGGCCAACAGTGATCTCTATGTTAGATCTCCTTTGTCCTATACATTTATTCTTTTCTAGTTCTTCTAAACTCTTACTGATTTCTATTTCATTTTGTCCATTTTCTGGGTCCTGTCCTCTTGGGTCTCTTACTGGGTTGTTAGTGGTGTCTATTCAGCTTTTGGCTGTTTCTAGCTTTCCTGACTTGTAGTTAGCTCAGAGCCTTATGATTTCAGCTGGAATCCTGGTAAGCAAGTAGCTAAGGCTGTAAAAGGAAATCTTTGAAAGAAGCAGCAGTTGCTTTTCAGCATCTGCTAAGTCAGGTGTTGGGCATTGTATCTTCTTCATTGTATTCCAGATAATCAAACTTTCAGTTTGAAGTTTGCCTTTTTTCTCTCTTATCCACTCATCTAAATTCCTTGGAGTAGTTCTTTAAGTTGAATGTGTATTTTGATAGATGTTTTTAATTTGTGGGTTTAAAAGTAAATATTTTGGGGATTGGTTGGTTCTGTTACATGGAAGAAGGATTATGGAGTTGTCTTTTTGCTTCCAGAGCAGATTGAGTATTCTTTTCTCTAGGGAAGAATTAGGAATAAATCCTGTGTAAATGGTTTATCAGGCTTTGTAGTATTCTGTTAAATGCAAATATTATGTGATAGTAGACGGGAGATATGCAGAGCTGAGGAAAATACAAATTTGAGGGTGTTTTGATGTGTCTAACAATTTTTTAATTGTATGTAGATGTGGTAGGTAGATGCTTTTCCTTTTATCAGTATGCCTCTTAGGCTGTGGGTGTGTTTCCTTTCAAGCCTTATATCTATGATGGGATAGATTTAGCTAGTGTACTGATGGCATGCCAGTGGTCAAAGATTTGAGGACCACTTTTAACTGTGTTCCAGTCATCTACTCAATCCACTTGGCTAATGGGAAAAGGCAAGGAATTCTAGGCATCACTTTAGACATTTTAGAATGACATGGTTCAAAGAACTTGTGGCCACAGGGTGTAAGAACTTGGGCATTGATTGTGCACACATAATTTCTTGCCGTTAAGCTGCTTTCCCCAGTCAGTGTGCATTAGGATGTTACCCCACAGTGTATTTTCTGCTTGTTTGGTATACATTTGCAAGTCTCTATTCATGACAACTGGAAAAAGGAAAGAGCCACTCTTCTGGGAGACAACAACTAGACTCTTAGATTCTCAAGTCCATGGAGAGCTTTTCACTGCTCATTGCATTTTGTAAGGTTTATCTTGCGTAGTTGGGCCAGAAGCAGAAGTGACAGCAGTATGTGCCATTATTCATTTTTTATTCTATACCAAGTGCTGTGCTAAGTACCTTTATATACGTATCTCATTGTTTATTAGAATGTAATCACATGACTTTTAAAATTGTTATCCCCATTTTACTTATAAGAAAACTGAGAGGGCCAGGCATGGTGGCTCACCCCTGTATTCCCAGCACTTTGGGAGACTGAGGCAGGCAGATCACTTCAGGCCAGGAGTTTGAGACCAGCCTGGCCAACATGGTAAAGCCCTGTCTATACTAAAAATATTAAAGTTTGCTGGACATGGTGGTGCGCTCCTGTAATCCCAGCTATTTGGGAGGCTGAGAAGAATCATTTGAACCTGGTAGACAAAGGCTGTGGTGAGCTGAGATCATCCCACTGCACTCCAGCCTGGGCAGCAGAGAGAGACTCTGTCTTAAAAAGAAAAAAGAAAACTGATACTCATGGTTATTGCATGATAATTAAGTGGTAGAGTCAGGATTTGAATCCAGGACTCCCTGGCTCAAAAGACCATGCCCTTAACAATTGTATTGCTGTCTATCAGTGATGTTGACTAGTCTTGTACATCTTCTAATGCCAAACAAGAATAAGGCATTATAGGCAGTGTAGAAATTCTCCTTATACGTTGTTTAATATGGGTTAACTCTATGTTTGAATTATTAGAACAGACTTTCATGGACGGGTATGGTGGCTACTTGGGAGGCTGAGGCAGGAGGATCCCTTGAGTGATCCCTTGAGCTCAGGAGGTTGAGGCTGCAGTGAGCTATGATTGCGCCTGTGAATAGCCACTGCATTCTGCCAGCCTGGGCTATATAGTGAGACCTTGTCTCTATAAAAACAAAAACGAGGCTTTCACACCTGGTTTATCCCTTCTTTTCACATAATCTAGAGAATTGGATTATGAAATCAGAAGGGCTGAGTGAATATTGTTTTTCCACAGATAATCTCATATGTTGTTGAATGGATTCTGCTTGAACTTCCTCCCTTTTCCTATACGGAAATCTTTAGGCCTTAAATGTCAACATGGAAATCTTTATCCCAAATAAAATTGGCTCCGAGAGAGGTACCATAGTGAATGATACAGAGTTATTTAAAATGGCATCTTCCGTATTTCTCACTGTAACTGGGAAATGCACACTTAGGTCATTTGGTGATGCAAAAAACATAGCTCAACTAACAATATATTGGTTTTTCTGGATGGGGTAATGAAGTTAAATATTTATTTAGGTGGGTGTAATGGGTATTGCCGTGTGAATTCTACTTAACTTTGTAATTAATGTGCCATTACCCTGAGTCTTACCAAGTATTTCTGCATTCTGGAACAATAGAGACACACTCTCCTATTGTTTGCAGTTACCCTCATAAAAAATTAAAAACAAAAAAATGAGTTGTTTTCCCTCTTCTCAAGACAAGTTTGCCTTCTGCTTAACAAAAGTGTTTCCACTCCCCCTGCGGTATGAAGACAGAGCCCCACGGTCCACACTTAGTCGTGTGCCTCGGTTTGCAGCCCTCTGCTCATTTCCTGGCTCGCCTTGCGCCCTGAGGTGGGTGCACTGTCACCTTGAAATGGCAGTGTGGGGCAGTAGCAGGAAGAACCCAAGCAGGCAAGCCGGGCTTCTGCTTCACTCTAAGTACCAGTAGTCTTTGATGTGGTCCTGTCCTGCCTGGGTGGTGAGATGAAGTTGTTCATTTCTCCTGGTGCTTTTGCTGAAGACACCCTCAGAAGACCTTTTTCCGTAGTCTTGTGGGTTGCCTTAGTTAGCAACCCAATCACTAAAAACAAAAGGAGCAGAGCTGCAAGAAGAGTGGCTCCTAATATTTGGAGCCAGGTAGTGAGACCCAGAGCACTGGGCTGAAGGGAAATTATTCCTGTGCTGTTTGGTAGAGTCTCATACTGAGGACAATTAAATAGTCCAGACGGGTCACTGGGTGAGACCAATTTCCTGGTTTGTTTACTCGAACCCGATAGTTTTTCACCATCCAGCAGTGGGTCACAGTCCTGCTGCACCATGCCCCCGGGCCTGCAGAGAGCAGTCCCTTCATACTGGATTTCCACCGGCTTCCCTAAGGATCCTTGCATGTCTTTATTTGGTTGAATTGCTCTGTTTTGTCTCTCAGGCTCAGGGTGGAGGACAATGTCAGTAATTACTCTTGACTTCATCTTATGCAGGCATTTGGCTTTATGTCCCGAGTTGCCCTACAAGCAGAGAAGATGAATCATCATCCAGAATGGTTCAATGTATATAACAAGGTAACTAAACTGCCTTATTTGGGAATCACTTTAATTATGGAGTTTAATAAACTTTTTTCCTTGTCATCTTGTGCAGCTAAATGTCACTGTGCTTAAGAAAGCCTTATCCTTTCTCTCAGAATCCCTGTGTATTATTGCAAATTAGTAACAAATTTTCAGGCCTGCTCCTAAGAACAATGAATAAGCTCTTTATTTTCATCCTTGTCTTTCTTCTAAAGCTAATATGCGAAAGTTGGGCCAAATGAGGCTCCTGAATTAAAACTGGAGTATCAGCCATGCTGATACATTTCAAAACTTAAGGTAAATTATTGAAAGAAATGGTAGCAACTCAGATAGATACAGCCTTATTTATATAGTTGAAATACATTTGCTCAAGAACTGTGCTTTGAAAACAGTTAAATTCAGTATGCTGTGTAGGAACTGACCTTATTTAAAACAAAGGGCAGACTAAAAAGTTTTGAGGGGCACAATGAGATGAACCTTGTTCCTCCAGAAGTGTCCTTGCCTTTATGGTCGTGCCATTTGGAATGTCTTACAATCTAGATTTCTATGAAGTCTTCTCTATGAAAATCTTTGAAAAAGAAGAATTTCACAATTCTCATGTGACTTATTAGAATAATTCAGAGCACCTTGATACCAGGTTACACTTTTCTTTCCTAGTTGCTTCTCTTTGCTTGCCGTTTTGCTTTTACTTTTTAATCAGTTCATCAAGAAACAGCATTCCATCCCTTACCCCCACTCCACTTCTTTAATTTGGAAATGTGCTTTTTTTTTTTTGAGATGGAGTCTGGCTCTGTTGCCCAGGCTGGAGTGCAGTGGTGCTCACTGAAACCTCTGCCACTACCACACCTGGGTAATTTTTAGTACAGATGGGGTTTCACCATGTTGGCCAGGCTGGTCTCAAACTCCTGAACTCAGGTGATTTGCCTGTCTTGGCCTCCCAAAGTGCTGGGATTACAGGTGTGAGCCACTGTGCCCAGCCAAAATGTGGTTTTTAAACATTCCTGCTAAGATACAACGTTTGATAGGTTGGTTTTTCTCAGTGGCCTAAAAATAGTTGGTGTAATTAAAGTAATGAGAGTTCAGGTGGAACCTCAGTCTCTTTTTATTTAAAGAAACAAGATTTGAGATTCTGGCAGCTGCGTTGCCGCTTGATGTGTGAAAACTTTTTATTTCAAGGTGACTGTTGAGCCAGGCCTGGTGTAGACTGTTTCCTGGAGTTCACCGGGGTTTGGAAATGTTTTGCTTATTCATAATGTAGTATTTTCTAAATCATTGAATCCCCCTATTCTCAAATATGAATGTTGAATAATAGACTGACTTCTGAACTACCAAAGGAAAATAACCTTGATTTGCTGCTCAGAGTTTTAAAAACTGCATTTCTTTTTCTTAGGTCCAGATAACGCTCACCTCCCATGACTGTGGTGAACTGACCAAAAAAGATGTGAAGCTGGCCAAGTTTATTGAAAAAGCAGCTGCTTCTGTGTGATTTCTTCCAAAATCCATGTAAAATCTTGTACATAGCTGCAATGTATAGTGAAGGAAATTTACGTGAACAAATTGAGTTGTCCTTAAGGCATCATATCTAGAGGCAAAAAAAGAAAAATAACAATTTAAGTTGTATAAATTTAGTTTGCCTTTGTATACTACATTTGGTAAAATCAATGCTTAAATACAAAATGATTTAAACTTGAACTGGAGGTATTTTTCATGCTGTCTAATCATATACCTAAGATAAAAGCCATTATATTAATATTCAAAAAGAGAAGTGGCATTCTTTTGTTTTTGAGACAGAGACTCACACTGTCACCCAGGCTGGAGTGCAATGGCTTGATCTCAGCTAACTGCAACCTCTGCCTCCCGGGTTCAAGTGGTTCTGCTGCCTCAGCCTCCTGAATAGATGGGACTACAGGCTCGTGCCACCACACCCAATTAGTTTTTGTATTTTTAATAGAGTCGGGGTTTTACCATCTTGGCCAGATGGTCTCAATCTCCTGACCTCATAATCCACCTGCTTCAGCCTCTCAAAGTGCTGGGATTACAGACATGAGCCACCGTGCCCAGCCAGAAGTGGCATTCTTAAATTCGAGAAATTGGGATGGAGAGTATTCAGACATTTTATAACCCAGAAATTCAAGCAATTTTGGTGACTTTACAAATGCTTTGTGTTGGAGAATAGTTGTAAGGTGGAAAAAGAATTATGAACTCTACAAATAGTGGGTTTTAGCTTCATATAACAATTCTTCTTTTGTTTTGTTTGAGATAGGGTCTCGCTCTGCCACCCAGGCTGGAGTGCAGTGGCGGGATCACGGTTCACTGCAGCCTTAACCTCCTGGGCTCAAGCAGTTCTCCCTCCTCAGTCTCCCGAGTAGCTGGGACTATAGGCAAGTGCCACCATGCCTGACTAATTTTTAAAGTTTTTGTAGAGATGGGGTCTCCCATGTTGCCTAGGCTGGCCTTGAACTCTAGGGCTCAAGCAAGCCTGCCACCTCTGCCTCCCAAAGTGCAGGGATTGCAGGTGTGAGCCATTATGCCCAGCCATTATAACAGGTTTGTTTGTTTTTTTGTTTTGTTTTTGACACGGAGTCTTATTCTATTGCCCAGGCAGGAGTGAGGTGGTGCCACCATGGCCTACTATAGCCTTGACCTCTCAGGTGCAAGTGATCCTCCCACCTCAGTATCCTGAGTAGCTGCAAGTACAGGCATGCACCACCACACCTGGCTTATTTTCTAAGCTTTTTTGTGGAGACAGGGTCTTATTATGCGGCCATGGCTGGTCTAGAACTTCTGGCCTCGAGTGATTCCCTTGCCTTGGCCTCCCAAAATGTTGGGATTACAGGCATCAACCACTGTGTCATATTTTTAAATTTTCATTTATTTATTTATTTTTAATAATTATACAAGATGGAGTCTCAACATGTTGCTCAGGCTGGTCTTGAACGCCTGGGCTCAAATGATCTTCCTGCCTTGGCCTCCCAAAATGCTGGAATTACAGGCGTGAGCCACTGAGCCTAGCCCCATAGCAATTTTTATGAAGCTAAAGTTGATTTGATTTTAGCTGCTGTTACTACTTAAGTAATTAATTAGATTAAACAAGTCATAAAAATTGCGTGAGCTATCTTGGTGTGTTTTCTTTACTTTTCTCTTTCAACAGAGAGTTGAAAGAAAGGACAAGTATCTTGTCTGTGGCTTCCAGGAATGAGTGGCAATACAAGATTTACTGTTACAGTAACCAACTCACCAGTTCGTTATTTGACTTACTGAGTTAAGGAGGAACTAAGGGTCATTTTTCCCCCATCGTTTGCATGTTGTGACTCCTGAACTGAGGGTCTACAGCCACTGAAGCTAGAAGCTACTTGGGTATTATTCAGTAGTGAGCTCTGCCTACTCCATATGTCACTGACGGATGTAAAAAGGAGTATCAGGTAATCTAATATTTAAAAACTGTAATAAGAATGTTCTTTGAAGGAATTCAGGAATGTACCACTAATGAGATTATGATGCAGATATATCCATCCAAGAAGCATTGTTAGTCCCTGGAAGCATCATGGTAGTGGAATTTAACAAAGATTGTCTTTGTAACCCACTTCTCTTTAGAGGCCAGAGAAATCATTCATTGTTACAACAAGCAAACCTTCCCTGCTCCATGTCATCCTTATCCCAAACCTGAGAAATGTACGGGAACATGGCACAGAGGCTGAGCTCTCTGAAGCCAGTTCCTGGCTAGTTTTGCTGGCCAGGGAGAGGCAGGTATGGTCAGTTGCCCTGTGGACATGCGGTGTGCAGGGAGAGGAAGTGGGAAAGAGCCACCCAGGCTCTCTGGGTGCCGGGGGATCCAGACCCTTAGCACTAGATCTTGTGTTCTTAGAATTCTTTCAAAGGAAAAGACAAAGCTGTATGTTTTTATAAGCTCTTTCCGATAGTATAGATTTGGGACTTTTATACTTTTTATTACCAAAGATTTTTAGTTAAGTGCTTGAATTTTCAATGTTAATTTTAAACAATTTGCTTTTGAGAATCATCACCTGGATTTACATGAATTTTTTAAGCATGAAAAAATTTAAACATATTCAAAAGTACATGAATAGTACATTGAAGCCTTATATATTGATTACCCAGATATAAACACTACCAAGATTTTGTCCTAGTTGCTTCATTTTCCCTGTTTCCGTCTTTGCTAAAGTATTTAAAAGCAAATCCCAGATAGCTTATCATTTCACCCCTATATCCTTCAGTAAGTATATTGAAAATATGGTCATTTTCTTGTATAAACCACAGTACCATTATTATACCTAACAAAATGATTCCTTGCTACACCTAATACCTAGGCAAAAATCAAATCGTACTGAAGGTCATGATCGTCTTTGGACAGTAGTTTGGTTCAAACCCAGGATCTATATGAAGCCCACTCATTGTATCTGGTTGTTGTGTCTCTTTAGTCTCTTGATCTGGGGCAAGCTCCTCTCCCTTCCCCATTTCCCCATGTAATTTATTTATTGTAAAAACTGGATCAGTTGTGCTGTAGAACATTTTGCCTTCTGGATTTGTTTGTTTGCTTCCTGTGGTGTCATTTAACTTGTTTTACCATACCCTACATGGAACCCTTTTCCTCTTTTGTGAGTGGAAGTCTGAGAGTCTAAACTTGATGGCTGTGTTAACACGTGTCATGTGTAGCACAGCGGAGAAAGCAGGATGTGGTTCATGAGACCTGATGAAGACCTGTGGTGAAGACCTGAGAATGAAGTTGCTAGATATCACCTATATGAGGGTATGACATAAGGTCTATGTTAAGGGTCCCTGCATCTGCTGGAAGTCAAAGACTTTACTATAGAATCAAAGATCCCATATCCGAAGTCCATGGAAATCCTCATGGTCGTCAATTCCGACAGAATGAAACACCAGACTTGCTTCGAGTAACTCACGTTTCAACTTAAAAGAGACACTGTCGCTGTTGGAGGCCCCAAGTTCCCGTCTCTTCCAAACTTTGCATGATGGCACTGGTTTCTCTCATGTGGTAAGCTTTGGCTTCCCTCTCTTTTCTTTCTAAATGAGTGCTGGAGAGGAGTTAAACAGACATGACCTATGACCCCATGCATGACTTCCACAGCTAGTAAACTGGGGCCAACATGGTTGACGATGTCCTTTTCTACAATGAAGTTAATGAAAGTTCTGAAAATAATAGTTACTTTCTGACATTGATAGAATTTAGGAAACCTTGGGACAAATAGCTTAAGCATGACTGTTTATGTTTTTGCTATAGACAAAAAGCAGCAACATGTACATTTTATTTGGACACAAGCCTGCCTCCATTAATGTATTGAACTATTGGACCAGTAGGGAGAGTAGGAGCACTCTGTACATTTTCTGATTCAGCATTTAGAAACATACTTAAAGTTGGACTCTGTAGCTTTCAGCTTTGCAAAGTTTTCTGTGAGACATCAGGAGCTGTAATAGGGTTTGGCCATCATATGTGAGCTTTGTGTTTCAATGCCAGTTACTCAGGACTAGTAAATGAATCACACCGTCCAGAGGATGTCAGAGTCACCGAGCTGCCGCGCCTGCCAATTGCTGACTCTCCCCGGCTATCTGTGGCTGACGTGGTACTACCCAGGTCACGCAGAGTGTGAGTTACTGCTGAAAGGGCACTGGGGATGGCCCTTGGGCTTCTCATCCCAGGATGCCTGCCCTGCCCACCAATCCATGAGAAGATAGGGATGATTTCAGTAGGCCCTGGATCACCTTGTCACCTCTGATTTCCTGTTGCTTTCCACTCACCCAGCTGGAGTTTCATTTCCAGACTAAAGTCTTCATCAGTAGCTTCAGAAACTAGCATTCATCTGTGTGGTTGTGCTGATATAGTCCACCAAGAACAACTGGGCTCTTTGTTGCTTTGACTGGGCTACCTTCCCTCACCTCTCCAAGCGGCACGAAAGAATTCTTTACTTTTTACATCTCTTTTCTATTTTTCTGTGAAAGTATGCTTTGGTGCTTAAGGAGGGAAGTCACAAACGTGTACTGCTGAGTTTCATGGCGATGAAATCCTGCCATGCCTAGCTATGAGAGTGAGCACAGGGATCCTGATGCCATTATTTTTCATATTCATACAGCATATGCTTACTGAGGGCCTTCTGTGTACCCTAGGGGATTGGACACAGTGACATATCAGGGTAGGTGGAAACAGATGGAGAACTGATGTGGGCTCTCTTGGAGCAGCTGCCCCAGGAGCCTCCTGTGGATGGATGTTGGGCAGGAGCCCTGAAACATTAGGGGCATATAACTAAAGGATACAGCAGGAGTTATAGGAGAAGCTGATCCCTGAGAGAATGAATGTAAAGGGAGAAGATGGGGCTAAAGTTTGAATCATGGGGACATGAATCCCAGTGATTCTTAAAACTTTGCTGTTGATGATTTTAAATGGAAAAAATGAGTACATAAGATGTTATTTCCCAGTTCAGTTTATTGGTTGCCCATAAAAGTATTTTCCTACCACAAGTGGTCATATATACTTGTGGAACACCAGGGACAGCAGAGGCGATGTGGTGGTTACCTCCTTTTCTTATGGACCAAGAACTTTGTTGTCCAGGAAACTGATCAGTTTAGCCACTGAACATTTAGTACAACACAGGGCTACCCAGATGTCACTGTCTTGATTTCTCTTGAAAGCCAAAGGAGTTAGGAGAAGGTGAGTGAGGAAAATATATTAATCTTGAGAGTTGAATAGAGTAAAAATCCCTATCGCTTTTGTACTTAAAACATCCCTGCCTCATGGGCTCATTCTTTATATTCTGTCTAGGTGGTTTATATGTGCACATTCCATGCCTGCAGTTAGCCAACTCAGGATTTATGTAATATAATATCTCCTTTTTTTTTTTTTTTAAGAGACGGGGTCTCATTCTTTCATGCAGGCTGGAGTGCAGTGATGTGATCACAGCTCATTATAACCTCCAACTCCTGGACTTAAGTGATCCTCCCACCTCAACCTCCCACAGGTGCATGCCACCACACCCACTTAATTTATTTTTATTTTTATTTTTTATAGAGACAGTCTCACTATGTTGCCCAGGCTTGTCTTGAACTCCAGGGCTCAAGCGATCCTCCTGCCTCAACCTCCCATGGCTAATTTCTCTTTTTTTTTGAGATGGAGTTTTGCTTTTGTTGCCCAGGCTGGAGTGCAGTGGTGTGATCTTGGCTCACTGCAATCTCCACCTCCTGGGTTCAAGTGATTCTTCTGTCTCAGCCTCCTGAGTAGCTGGGATTATAGGCACCTGCCACCATGCCTGGCTGATTTTTATGTATTTTTTAGTAGACACAGGGTTTCACCATGTTGGCCAGGCTAGTCTCGAACTACTGACCTCAGTTGATCTGCTTGCCTCTGCCTCCCAAAGTTCTGGGATTACAGGTGTGAGCCACCACACGCTGCCGCTAATTTTTATTTCTTACTTTTTTTTTTAGAGATGGGGGTCTCACTATGTTGCCCAGGCTGATCTCAAACTCCTGGTCTCAAGTGATCCTGCTATCTTAGCCTCCCAAGTTGCTGGGATTATAATTTTTCTTTTGTTCTAAGTCAAACCCATCACAGTCTTTTCTTGTCCTTCCAAGTGTTTCCAGTGGCTGGGCCCTGGATGTGCTCTCTTTTTCCTTAGAGCCCAGAGAACTTTTCTTTCCCTTCTTATATGATCCGTAACTTTTTCTAGCACATTACCAAGGGCCTGTATCAATCAGCTGGGGGCGCTTCTTGAAGGGAGGGCCTTTGTGTGGTCTGTTTCTAGTGACTTCCAGCTTTTTTTTTTTTTTTGAGACTGAGTTTCGTTCTTGTTACCCAGGCTGGAGTGCAATGGCGCGATCTCGGCTCACCGCAACCTCTGCCTCCTGGGTTCAGGCAATTCTCCTGCCTCAGCCTCCTGAGTAGCTGGGATTACAGGCACGTGCCACCATGCCCAGCTAATTTTTTTTTTTGTATTTTTAGTAGAGATGGGGTTTCACCATGTTGACCAGGATGGTCTCGATCTCTTGACCTTGTGATCCACCCGCCTCGGCCTCCCAAAGTGCTGGGATTACAGGCTTGAGCCACCGCGCCCGGCCGTGACTTCCAGCTTTAACCCAGAGCCTCATGATTCTGCATAACGTGGATGCCCATAGCCTTTTTGTTGAATGGAAGCACTCAGTCTCTTTGGGACAAGAGAATTCATGATAGACCAACTGGGGAGCTCCCCACTTCAGGGGCCTCAGACTGGTAAAGCAACAGAATGCCCAAGAGTGACCTCATAAAGCAAGGATTCCCTTTGTGGACCCTTCTCCGCTGCCTCTCAGAATCCAGATGCTAAGGAGAATCCCTAAGCAGAGATTTTCTGTTGGATGATAAAAGCAAGGAATGAAAGTTGGAAATTTGGCAAATGTCTCAACACAGTCACCAGAGCCTGTTGAAAGTCATTTCTAGTTCACTGGTTGCTAAATCGATGGAATTTTGCCCAGCATTCAAGAAATTTAAGTAAATATTCTCTATCTCTGTTACCTGTTAAGAAACGTGCAAGCAGAAGTGTGAGGGCAGGGTGTTGGTGTTCGCTCAGCCTCTTCCCTCAGACGCTTGTCTGCTTACCAAAATAAGTTGCATGTCCTTGACAATTTGGTTTCTGTGATCAACGAGGTTGGCATGCCCTGTAGACTTGAATGACCAGTTTAACTCAGTTTTGTCCTTTTCTATTAATGACTGTCAGATAATCTCAAGGCTTTTCTTTTCTTTTTTTTTTTTTTTTTTTGGTAGTAGATCCCATCTCAAATCAGATAGTGAAAATTATATATCTTAATATATTAGAAAAGTATATCTATTCTGACCGGGTACAGTGGCTCACACCTGCCGAGGTGGGCAGATCACTTGAGGTCAGGAGTTTGAGACTAGCCCTGGCCAACATGGCAAAACCCCATCTCTACTAAAAATACAAAAATTAGCCAGGAGTGGCGGTGTGCATCTGTAGTCCTAGCTACTTGGGAGGCTGAGTTAGGAGAGTCGCTTGGACCTGTGGGGGTGGAGGTTGCAGTGAGCTGAGATTGCACCACCCCCGCACTCCAGCCTGGGTGACAGAGTGAGACTCTGTCTCAAAAAAAAAGAATATCTATTCCATATTTTTAAACTATTATGAGAATGTATTCATTTGTAACATATAATGGGAAACAGTAATTTGCTCTTTGAGAAAAATTGCAAAGCACAGATAAATGGAAATAAACAGGAAAAAGAATTGTCTGTAACCTCACCATCCATAGACAAACACTGTTAACATTTTGGCATATTTCCTGCTGATTTTTTTTTTTTTACTCATTTTTGCACAGGTGAGATAATTTTGAACAGATAATTTTGTATCTTTGGTTTTTGTGTTTTGTTGCACACAAAACAAAACAAGATATAAAAATGGATTGTAAACACTTTTCTAAATCCTGAAAAATGCATAGACATATTTTAGTGCCTATATTTCAAGAGACGGACATACCACAAATATTTACCCAGTCCTTTTTGTTAAATGTTTAAATTGTTTTCAAGCTTCTCAGTACTGGAAATAATGCTGAGACATTTTTAGTTGAAGTTACTTCATTTCAGGTTGTATTCTCTTGGGTCAGAGAATGAATGGTTCTAAGGCTTTTCAAAAAAGCTGGTCAGTTTTCATGCCTCTGGCAGTTTTGGACAGTGCAAAATCATACTACACTCTTGCCAGCATTAGATCTTACCATGTTCAAGTCTTTGCTAATTTTATAAACAAAAATAATGGTGCATCTCCCTGACTAGTATTGCTATAGAACATGTCTGGCGAAGTTTATTGGTCTTTGGTATTTATTTCATGAATAGGTGTGTGCCCATTTTCTCTTGGGGTGTTCAGTTTTTTATTATTGATGTGAGCATGTGTATGGGTGATATCTTATGATTATCAATTTTGCTTAGTAGACTGGCAATATTTAGTCTTGCTCACACTGTGTTCCCAGTGCCTACTATATTGCTTGGTATGTAGTTGCCACTCAGTAAAGATTTGTTGAGTGAATAAAGGAAGATGACACTTTGTTTTGCTGGAGAAGGAGTGGTGACCATTCTTTTTCAGAGGTCCAGGGAAAGGGAACTGAGTAACTGAGTGGGGACAGAGTATCCATGATCATCATATGTATTTCAGGGGTCATTTATTCAACATTTCATTGCTATGTAAAAGTGTATGTACATTTATATTCACAGAAGGGAGAAAGCAGAGCCTTGTCCCTGCAAAAAGGTGTGTATTATGTGGGCATCCAGCTCTGTAGCGCCATAACCATACTTTATATTCAACTTTTTGACAGGCGGAAAGATGATGAGTTTCGGGCATTTGTGAAGAGAGTCACAATGAGCGATTTCTTTAAGATAATTATGATTAGTGCTGTCGGATCGAATGCCTTTTTTACGGCCTTGTGGACCAGTTATGAAATCAGGTACCGCTTGTTCAGACTTCTTGAGGTAAGCAGACAAAATGGATCAATTTTCTTTTTTTGAAAGATGCTTTATTTCTGGAAACATTATAAGATTTTAAAGGTATTTTATTTCCAGAAATTTTCTGTAGAATTCTAAAAATACTCTAAAATCTGGGAAGAGGGTGACAAGAGCAGCAGTGGTGACTTTTTTTTTTTTTTTTTTTTTTTTGAGATGGAGTCTCGCCCTGTTACCTAAGCTGGAGTGCAGTGGCGCTATCTTGGCTCAGGGAGCAACTTCTGCCTCCCGGGTTCAAGAGATTCTCCTGCATCAGCCTCCCAAGTAGTTTGGATTATAGATACACATCAGCACACCCAGGTAATTTTTGTATTTTTAGTAGAGATGGGGTCTTGCCATGTTGGCCAGGCTGGTCTTGAACTCCTGACTTCAAGTGATCCACCTGCCTTGGCCTCTCAAAGTGCTGGGATTACAGGCATGAGCCAGTGTGCCTGGTCAGTGACATGGTTTTTAAGTCTCCTTGAAATCTCCTCTCAAAAACAGAGCAAGCCTGGGCAACAAAGTGGGACCCCCATCTCTATTTAAAAAAACGTTGGGCATGGTGGTGCACACCTGTAGTCTCAGCTACTCTAGACACTGAGGTGGGAGAGCCTGGGAGTTTGAGGCTGCAGTGAACTATGATTGCACCACTGCACTCTAGCCTGGGCAACAGAGTGAGACCTTGTCGCAGCCAACCAGCCAACCAGCCAACCAGCCAACCAACCAACCAACCAACCAAAAAAACTGGATCAACTATATAGCAAAGCCAAGAACCCACAGGCACCTTTCGCAGCAAAACTAGTTAGTTTCCTTACTATAAGCCACAAGAGCTGCATTAGTATTAGCCTTGTGGGAGAAGAAACAGAGGGATGCTAGTATGTATTCATTAAAAATGTGATGGGCTGATGTGAGAACAGCATTTGATATCAAAAAGGGTATTGCCTTGTCCAATACTGGGCTAGATCAAGAGGTTCCTGGTAATTTTTGAAGGGGCTAGAGCAGCAGATGCTATGAACTTTTAAAGCTGACCAGCCAGAACTCTCTTTAAAGACAGGATCCCACAGATAGGATAAACATTGGAAATGGAATGAAAACAGCAGGTTGGAGATACAGAGATGAAGGAAGAGAAGGTTCAGATAAAATGGGAGGAGGGGAATGGAACCAGGGAACCTCAGAATTTTTTTAAACACAGCACAAAAGCAGAAGAATGAGCTCAGTGAGGTTAGAACCATACCATCTTCTAAAAGTTCAAGAAAACTAATTTTATGTAAAACAGCACAATAGAAAAGGATTGATGCTGCTATAGTTGTGTTTTTAGGGAAAAAAAAAAGGATTGCAATAAAGTCTCATACACAATTACTTTAAGAAAAAAGAGAGTAAGGGAGAGCGTAATACCCTTATACAGGTTGAGCATCCTGAATTTGAAAATCTGGAATCTGAAGTGCTCCAAAATTTAAAACATTCAGAGCACTACTGACATGACACTCAAAGGAAATGCTTACTGGAGCATTTTGTATTTCAGATTTTCAGATGTGAGTTGCTCCACCGGTAAAGAGAATGCAGATATTCCAAAATCTAAAAAATTTGAAATCTGAAACACTTCTGTTCCCAAGCATTTCAGATAAGAGATACTTAACCTGTAGACAATGAAAGCCCACCACAATGACATGCCTACAAAACAGGAAAGACTGTGGCATACGACTTTAAAACAAGCCACATATTTAAGAAAGTGATTTAAGATAGGAAAGAACAGAAGTGAAAAGACAAAACTCAGGAAAGAATTAGAAATGAAAAATTAAAAAAAAGTTCTTGCACTGCATGGATAAAAAATAAAAATTTCAAAAATGAAGACTAAAATAGACTAAGAGCAATTAATTGCAGCAGTTAATAGCTTAAGATAAATATAGGATTAAATGTAGGACATTTTTTAAGTCAATAAGAAATGAAGAGATGAAAAGGAGTCAAGAGAAAATGATGAACATTGAAGATGGAGAAGAAAAATCCAGGATAAGGACAAAATAGGAGCCCCTGAATTTGAAACAAAACAGAAACAAAGCAAAGGAACAAAACAGATGCTGAAATCTATCATCCACGAAAAGTTACCTGAAACTAAAGGCTTGAAACTATGTGTTGAAAGAGCACACATTGCATACCTGAGAATATGGACTTTGAACAATAAACACCAAAACATACTCTAGTAAAATTACTGGATTTTAAAGGATAAAGGGGGTTAAGGAAACTATCGGTATCAAGGCAGTGTGGCTTATAAGAAGACAGTTACTTATCATCAGACTTTGCTATGGTAAAATAATATGCCAAAAGAAAATAGAGTTACATATGTAAGATACTTAAAGAAAATGAGAACCAAGAGTTTTAGATCAGAAAAACTAACTTTCGAGTATCAAGGACACAAATTCATCAATATTCAAAAACTTGGGGAATATTGTTTCTATGAGCCCTTCCTCAGTAATTTACTAAATAATAAGTTTGAGCAAACCAAAATGACTAGAGAAGCATCAACGTTAGGACTGAAGATGAGCATTAAGTATGTAGTTATTTGTGGAACTGATATTAATTGTGCTTTAACAGAGAGAATATAGTATATAATGAATGTATCTTCTGACAGTGAAGATAGAGTATGACTAAAAAATGGGAGACAATGGGGAAAACCAATATAAAAAGTTTTAAAATAATTTTCAGTAATCAATTTAGTGGGAACACTATTAGTAGTGTTATTCTGAGACTTGTATGTGTGAAATACAAGATAGGACAATTGAGCAATTATGGGACAGTTTATTTCTGTCATCCCCTGTATTCTTAAGAACCAGGATACTCACGGAAGAGAGAACCAGAAACTTCTTTGATAAATAACCAATTCCAGGTCTAGGGCAGGAGGTATACCAGATGAGCCAGGATTATCTTGTCATAGACATAGCAAGGAAGCTATCAAAGACTACTGGGGCCATGTCAAAAGGCTTAGGAGACTATGTGAAGAGGTTCCTACTGACCAAAGATGGGACAGTTTGAGCTCCAATAATAATAATAATTACCATGTATTGAAACTCACCAAATAATCTATGAGTTTATAAGACACCCCAAAATAAACTGTCCACTTTTGGAGGATGATAAGGAACTAATCCTTTATCTTGATAATTACTAAATTAAGGGAGAGAATCAAGCATTACTGACCTTATGTGAACTGCAGTACTGAGTAAGCATACAGTAGGTGAGGGGAAACATCTTTTTATAGATGTGTCCCCCTTAATAAATAAAAAAGAAATGATGTAATATTACAGTTTTTCAATGCCCTAGGAAGTAATTGATCTAGGCACTGAGCATCCGTGGCTGCTACCATCATAAAAAGAGACAACCAGAATTTATGTGCCATCTATAAAAGAACAGCACCTCTAATCTTGCCCAGGAGATCAGGAAATATGGAGGACAGAGGGATATGCTGAGCTGTACCATGAGCGCAACTCAGCAAAATCCAGACTGGGAGATTTTACAAGTCAAGCTCCCCAGTTTCTTTAACAGGTAAATTGTAAGGGAAGAGAAAAGGAATAGGAGACTTAAAAGACACACCAGAATTTTAAAAATTTATAAAATGGCAAGACTACTTATTAGTTCTAGGGATACATACGTGGGTTTTTATCTATAAAGAAATGCAAGGAATTACTATAAAAATTTGGATAGTCATTAATTTTGGAGGGGGGGGGAAGTTGTAATTGGGATATGGGGTACATGAGGGGCTTCTGGGATGACAGAGTTCTACTTCTTGACCTAGGTGGTAGTTACAGGGATATTGGCCTTGAAATAATTTATTGAGCTATGTATTTGTTCATGTGGTTGTATATGTGTGTTTATTTTACAGTGAAAAGGTTAAAGATACACTCTTCGTATCTTTAAGATAAATTACAAATATCCTTCTTGGGGGTGAAAAGGTTAGCATAAACGTAGTATGGTATCAGAAGCAGTTGAGCTGATGGGATACTACAATTAATACTTAAAATGTGTCAGATCCACTTGGCACCACTTCTGTGAACATGTTAGTATGGCAGTGAATTCCACACCACGATTCCACAGAGACTGGTTATGGACTGTGGAACATCATGTTAAGTATAAGACTCAACAGGGGTCAGGGAAAGAGACAAATTGAGGAAACTGAATCCTCTGATTCCCCTCCTGAGGCCGTAAGGGTCACGAAGCATATGTCTTGGTTTAGGGGACCTGGTTTGCAAGCCTAGGGAATGTTCTGTGCCGTTCAGACTTTGGGATCATATAGATTTGGGTTCAGGCCCCAGCTTCCTACCTTATTCCTAACTGAGAATTTGGACAAGTTACTTAAGCTCTCTGTGGTTTGGCTGCAACATTTGTAAAATGATGTAATTAATACACAACTTACAGGGTGGTGGTACAGCCATTGAAAATAACATGTATGAAAGCCCCTGGTTAACTGAAACTGAGAAATTATTAACATTCCTGGGAAACCCACTGAAGGTGCTGGAAAAGACCTGAGAGAGCCCTGATTTCTCACCTCTGGCTAACCTTGAAGCTCTGCGCAAGCAGGAAATGAAGGCTGAAGCAGAGTTGTAGGTTGCTAGAGCATTGAACATGTTCCCCCACAGAGCCCCCTTGGCAAGAGGCTGACTGATTTCAGGCATGTAAGAAAATTTCTGTCCAATCATTAGTAGGGCATTAAACTGAACAGAAACCTTGGTGGCCACACATGACAAAGAATATAGACTTTACAGAATCAGTTCAGAAAAGTCAATTTAAAAAAGAAAAGAAGAAAGAACAACAACAAACCCTGGGGAAAGGGGAGGGTATAATTTTCAGAGTTGCAACATTATATTATGTAAAATGTTCAGTTTTCAGCAACAAAATCATGAGACATGCAAAGAAACAAGAGTGTATGGCTCATACACAAAGAGAAAAGCAGTTAATTGAAAATATCAGGCAGGTGCCCTGGCTCATACTTGTAATCCCAGTAC